GGCGTCCCCCGCGGCGGGTCGGAGTGTGGGACCTGGTTCCCGCGCCCCCGGGGACCGCCGCCTTCTGGGGCGTTTGCCTTCTCTTGTCTGCACAGGGATCTCGAAACCCTCGAGCTGTGCTCGACTAATAACAGGTTTTCGTTCCAGACAGTTTAGCTAATTACTGTCAGATAAAGTAAATAAGGTCGCATTCACGGAAGCGTTTGATTTTATTTTAATCGAGTTTATCTCCTTGTACGTTTTCGTCACATCGTACATTTATACAAGCGCCTCCGCCCCCGAAAGATTAAATGGTGGTAAATTCCGTGACGGAGGGGGACTATATAGACTCATAAACGATACATCGTGCCTTAAACAAAAGTAAGAAAAACTGCGAGCTGGCTAACCAGTGACAGTGAGTCGCTATCAAATGGAAATGTGATGGCGTTCTGAAAAGTGTAAAGTGTTCTCCTAACTGTTACTGTTCACACAAACGTTGCTCGATGTATACATAAAGTCAGATAATGGATACTTTTAGTTACATATGCCACTGCTTATCTCCTGGCCTCCCGACTATTCAAGTGGCCTTTTAATTATGTAACTAAGGCCACCAAAAAGCTGAACGTTATCGTGGCTTTCTAATCTAAATGTAACACCACATTCAGAAGTGATTTTCTATCAAAGCGTGAAAAATCGCCTTGGGATGACCGCGGCTAGCCCACGCGGTTGACGTTTCAGGTGAATTTTCCATCGTTTTTATTTCTCTCCTAGAAACTTCATTTTCAAACCGGCTTGAGGGGGGAGGGGGGGGGGAGAGAGAGAGAGAGAGAGAGAGAGAGAGAGATAGATATTTCTTTTTATCGGCGGCAACAAATGTGTTTTTGTTCATTTGTGGTTGTTAGTGGTGGGGTGTGTGTGGGGGGGGGGTTGGTTTGGTTTTCAGTGGAGGAATGTTAGAAAGCTATCCAAAATTTTTGAGCAATTTGAGGCCATAGCATTTTGATTGTGAGAAGGACAACTACATTTTGTACTTTTAAAGAAATGTCAACCGCGTTGAAAGCATTAAACTGATTAATTTTTTGAGTTTTTTGTTTCTCAAGTAATTTTGTAAGAGAACATTTTAAATGTCGTTTTAAGCATTTAGCTTGTTACATAAATGCCAGATTTTCCTAGATTTTGTTTGGAATTGAGTTTTCTAAGTAACCTACCATTTCTCTTTCCTGGGAGAAAAACCAGCCCAAGTTCAGTAATGTGTGTGTCCTCCTTTGTAAATTGCAGGCCCTTGCTGAGAAGGAGTTTCGGTTTCTCAGGGAAGGGACTTCTCACGTATTTATCTATGCGTATCTACTCCCTCCAAACATTTTACAGATAAAAATGTAAATTAAGCTTTCTTCACCAGAACCATTTCTGCCAATAAAAGTCATGTGGGGGGCGGGGGGGGGGGAACCTGTACCGTTGGCGAATGAAAATCAACTCCATACTTTTCAAGCAAAAACGCCTCAGTAAAGGAACGCCAGGACACACATTTATTTGCACGATTTGCGTGCGCTATTCGGGCGTGCAGCGAGCAGCTTTACCTTGGGGATTAAATAGGAATCCTGAAAGCATTCCTCAACTTTGTGGTGGTGAGTTTGAGTTTCTGTAACGAAATTGCAATGTCTGTAGCCTTTTTCAAACATGTCTGGCTCCGAGAGAGCAGCTGCGGTCTTCGGCGAATTAATCCACTGACACCAGAGCGCCTGCCCGGGAAGAGGAGAGAAGCGTGGCCGTCGTGTCCCACGTGGCGCAGACCCCCGGTGTCCGCCGCCCCCCGCGAGCCGGCCCCGTGGGACCCCGGCCTCCCGGGACGTGGGACGCGACCTCCAAGACCCCTGGGCGAATACCTCCAGGCCGGCGGAGGACGAAGCAG